TTCAATGACAATAGAACCAGTGCCTTTAAAAGAGTGATGTTTCCCTAATTTTTACTGTTCATTTTAAAATAACTTTTTATTGGGGCACCTGGGTAGCTCAGTCAGTTGAGCTTCCGACTGTTGATTATCGGCTCAGTTCATGATCCCAGGGTTGCGGGATTAAGCCCCGCATTGGGATCCACACTGAGTGTTCTGTTTAAGATTCTCTCTCACTGTCTTTCTTCCCCCCTTTCCCTCTTGTGGTCTCTATGTCTCTAAAATAAATAAGATGGTAGATAGATGATAGATAGATGATAGATAGATAGATAGATAGATATATATTTTTTATATATAGATATGGATGATATAGATAGATGATATAGATATAGATAGGTAGATAGATAAAATAAGTTTTTATTGGAATACATTTCACCACAGGTATTGAAAAGATTAAAAAGTCTTGAGCATACACCTGAATAAATGTTAACCAAATAAACACATTTGTGTAATCACAGCACAGGTGATGAAACATGTCATTTCCAACAATTTGTACTTGGCTTAATCTCCTTTAGTTACTGTATCTCCTGCAAAGATAAATGGTATCCTGCCTTCTATCATGACAGATTATTTTTGTCTATTTATAAATGGAATCATGTATTCTGTACTAATCTATATCTGTTAAGTAAGCTTATAATATCCATGCTTTCTTTCTTATTTATTGTCATCCCATTGTCCACAGTAAGCATGAAACCACAATACAATTATCCAGTTTACTGTTGATGGTTACTTAGGCTGTCTTCTGTTTTTGGCTACTGTAAATAGTATAGAAATAAAGTCTGCTATGGATTGAACTGTGTCTCCTCAAAATTCGTATCTTGAAGTCCTAATCCCCAAATGTGACTGGTTTTGGACATAGGGCCTTTAGGAAGGCAATTAAAGTTAAATGAAACCAAAAGATGGGGCTATAATTCCATGGGGTCCATGTCCTTGTAAGAACATGTGCCAACCCAGAGCAAAGGCCATGTGATCTTTTTCTTCCCATCAAGAAGGTGGTTATCTACATACCAGAAAGAGAGCTTTCACTAGAAACGAGTCCTGACACTTTGGTCTTGGACGCTGGCCTCCAGAACTGTGAGAAAATTATTGTCTGTCAGTTAAACCACCCAGTCTTTGGTATTTTGTTATGGCAACCCAAGTAGACTAATAAACACTCAAGTATATATTTTATAAAATTTTTGTATTCATTTTAATATAGAGGTTTTGTACATATCTCATTAGTTTTATTCTTAGGTAAATAAAATTATCTATAACTACTAAAATGCTATCAATCCTTAAATTTTACCTTTGAATTTTCACTGCCAATTTGTAAAAATATAGTTATATTTTTAATTGGTCTGGCATACAGTTCTCTGGAACTTTTATCTTTTTTAACTGTAACAGTTTATTTCTAGATTATCTTGGATTTTCGACATATACTTTAATTCATTTCCAAATAAGAACATTTCATTTATTCTTTTCTAATTCTTATAATTTATATTTTCTTGCCTTATTACCCAAGCTAGAATTTATAGTAATATACTAAACAGGGGTGGTAATAGTAAGTGCACTGCCTTATTTCTGACCTTAAGATGAACGCTTTCAGGGCACCTGGGTGGCTCAGTCAGTTAAACATCTGACTCTTGGTTTCAGCTCAGGTCATAATCTCACAGTTCATGAGTTTGAGCCCCACACCAGGCTCTGCGCTGAGGGCATAGAGCCCGCTTGAAATTCTCTCTCTCTCTTCCTTTCTCTGCACCTCCCCTCTTGTGCTTGTGTGCTCACTCGCTCTCTCTCTCTCTCTCTCTCTCAGGATACATACATACATACATACATACATATAAAAACAAAACTTTAAAAAATGAGTATTTTCAATCTTTTACTGTTAACTGTAATGTTTAGTGGAGATATTTTAGAAATACTCCTGAGCAAATTAAGGTAGTCCTTTGCCATATCTACTAAGATCTTTCTCATATCTATATCAAATGATAAAATGCATCTACTGAGAGTATCATTTTTTCTCTTCCTTTGAATGAGTCATAATTTGATTACAGAAGGAGAACTACTAAAAATGATGTCAAATAAGTGGGTTTCACATAAGTTTGACCTAAGATAGTTTGTTAATGAGATAAGCAGTCTATGTAACTCCACTGACTTGATGTCTGGTTCAGCACTGGGCAGCGCCAGCATCTGCAGTGCAGGCATTCGGGAAGAAAGACGCATGAAAGGCAGAGAAGATGGAGCACAACCTGGAACCCACGCTACCAGCTGAAAGTCACAAAGATAAAATAAGACCCAAGTTAGTCTTGCACCATATCAATTCTCCAACTTCAAAGATCTGAGGGACCCGCAGGAGAAAATGGTGCCTTTTCAACTGACTGAGTAGTCAGAGAGGCAGAAAATAGTGGCCTAGACAAGGCTAGAGGACCCGATACCACGTACCAATAATGCGAGCCAGCTGACTGAGCATAGCCTGCGCGAACTGCAATAGTGTCTAAACTTACTTTGATACCCAAGCATAACAATGGCAGCTGTTTACATTTTCACCTTCCAAATATTGCACAGATTTCTCTCATAACCAATCCGAAAGAAGCTACAAATGAGAAAGGAAAGTCTGTCCCAGTTGAGCTATACTGACACAAAACAAATCCATCTGGGCATCCATACATACATATACCGCTCTCCATACATAATTTCAAAATAAAGACAAAAGCAAAAGCCCAATTCTACATTACATGACAGTATTATAACTAACATAACTGAAAACAGTCTAACTGTGAACCTTGGCCTCACTTCTAAACATTTTCCTCCTTCAAGTAGCAAACATCAGAGTAGAGCGGGTAGGAGGGATGGGAGTGTGAAGGGAGAGAACCACTTCATGCCAGTAAACAAGGCGTTACATTTACTTTCTGCTGTAAGAAGCTGCCCACACAGCTCAATCAAATGAACTTCTCATGTTTTCAATTCCCCAGAAGCTCTATATCTTCTTTCCTAAAACCAGGTATTTTAGCTTTAGGGCCTTCTTGATTCAACTGGTATAGCCACATTGTTCTCAATCTGGGGTTGTAGGACTTGCTTCCCTGTTGTCATAATAACATACCTCCTACCTCCTGCCTGAAGGAGACTGAGTAAAGATCAAAACACCATTTGGGCAACCTTTTCCTCTCACTGTTCTTCCTTTAAACATTCATTAACAGGTGGCAAAGTGGGGGACCCTTATCAACACTCCCACTCACTCCCTGGTGAACATTCCCACTCACTCACCACTTGGGTGAGAACATTTTCCAATGACTATGAATGAGATTTTTCATATTCCCTACATCAGCTCACAAGGCTCCCATCCTTTGTCCTTCACAAAGCCATGCCTCTGGTAGCACTTTATTGGCATTGCAAAATCTCTCAGTAACTATGAAGGATCTGAAATTTTACTCTCACAACTAAGCTTGTAAGCTCACAAGTTACTCTGCCACACTTTGATTTAAAGTGGAGAGAAACATCAACATACTAAGTCAGAGATAAAGGAGTTATTAGTCACGAAAATGGTAGTAGCCAGAGTATCTGCATTTATGCAGGTTCCCTGAACCCCATTTCCCAAAAACTGATCCAAACGGGATTAGTTGGTGCCTGCACATGATGGATAGCCTTTATCTTCCTAGGCTCTATGCTCTACAAACATCCTTTGAAAAATTAGTCATGCCTTTGTTCAAAAGACATATGGAAACATTGGAGAGCCATGAAGACTTGTCTCCCAATATTCAACTAAATTCCACTGAGCTCACAGGTATAGACTGACAGGAAGAAGGCAATACAGGAGAGGAATGGGCCATGGACATCTGGGCCACAGGTCATGCAGCATACTTAAGACTTTAGGACCTACTCAAGACCAATCTTGTATATACCCATTCTGTTTGATGATGGAATATTACTGTGCTTATCTGCTTTTAAGGTTAGGTAGGTCAGAGAACACCCAATTCATGATGTCAGGACACATGGTAATCTCAGGTTATATGGTCAAGTGTTCTGCCTTTCCTAGGGCCCTGAAGATAGTCAGACTGTTTTTCAAAAAGAAAATTATTATTTTTAATTTTTTAATGTTTATTTATTTTTGAGAGAGGCAGAGACAGAGTGCAAGTGGGGAGGGACAGAGAGAAAGGGAAACACACAATCTGAAGCAGGTTCGAGGCTCTGAGCTGTTAGCACAGAGCCCAATGTGGGGCTCGAACCCACAGATTGCAAGATCATGACCTGAGCCAATGTTAGACACTCAATCAACTGAGCCACCCACGTGCCTCTCAAAAAGAGAATTATTATCTGCTGGGTAAGGCATACATTGCTACAAATTTCTAAGGAGCACCCCGAAGGTTCAAGTAACGTTCCTATTTTGCCAAAAATACTTCAAGAAAATGGAATCTTCTAGGCCATATGCCTACATGGAAGAATAGATTTTTATAGAACACCGTACCTGTTGCAGGGATGTTTATTGTTCTAATTCCTGTTCAGAACTGGCAACTTTTAGGGTTACATGGTGAACGTCAGAGGTAGAACATATGACTCCAATATCGAAAAGGCCCACTAAGCACAGTCTCTTTTTCTTGTAGCACAAGATGTCAGATGCAGAAATGTGTCCATTGAAGAAATAGATCTCCATGCCTTGAACAACTGGACCCCAAGATAGACCCATAACCTTTTATGAGATTTATTTTCTACTCATTGACATACATTTATCTTACAACTGATTTTAAAATATATGCTACTTTTTGCTATTAGTTCAAAAGAACATGTTATAATCAATGTAATAGAATAGCATGATGTCCTGTAGCCTAGATAGGCAATCAGGAATGTACAGTTGAGACAGCCCCAATGGAGGACGGAGAGATTGTATTGCTGGGTTAGCAGCTGGAGGAAAATAGCTTCTGATATCTTTTAACGAACAAGAATAAACCAACCAACAAACAAAAACATTTGCCAGATGAATAGTCACTTACCAGGTCCCAGCAGAAGTGTCGATCTGTTCCAGCAATGAAATCACATCTGAAACAGCAACATAATGAGAATAAAGACCCAATTAATTTTACAACTAGTATCTAAAATTTCTCTGTCTTCTACAGAGACCAAATATGTAAGTGAATGAGTATGTGGTAAATCATTATCCCTGCATCTTTCAAGTTTTTAATGGTGGCACTAATCTGTGCAATCCCTCCAGTAATGTGGTATATATTTTAATATGTTTGCATTTGAGAGGAATTTCTGGTGGCTCTATTTGTCTGACTCTAACATCAGATTCCTCACTCCATAGGTTGGGAATATTGCATTCTGTAAGTTACTAAGGATGTCTATCCCTATTAGGCATTCTGGAATATAATCACAGAGATGATTCATCACCCACTGTGGGAAGAACTCAAGCCAAAACTCTGTTCACAACATAGCCTCTAGAGGTACCTGACTTTGGCTCAGTTCATGATCTTACAGTTCATAAGTTCAAGCCCCACATTGGGCTCCATGCTGAAAGCTTAGAGCCTGGACCCTGCTTCAGATTATGTGTCTCCCTCTCTCTCTCTAAAAAAGAGACTTGTGCTCTCTCTCTCTAAAAAAATAAATGAACATTAAAAAAAAATAAAAAAACAACATAACCCCCATAAGACCCTAGAATGACTGTCGACCTCATCAGTGTCACCAGTAATTGTGAGCTCAGAGCAACACATATAGCAGTATCCAAACTATCTCATTATTCCCTTTTTTCCCCAATGCATAGTCACCCTAGTAAATGGTTCCATTTCCCTTTACAGAAGGCTGGGGAGAAATGCAGTAGAATGTTTTGAGCTGTACGGCAAGATGCTTCCTCAAGTAGCACCATCATTCTTTTATTACAAGGTGCTCTCAGATTGTGAACTTGGTCAAGTCTGAAATTGTCAGTCTATAACTTGTTATTGTAGTGACTGAAGTCAGATCTCTGTTCATCAGATCTAGAGATTTTCAGGTCATGCAAATCAAGTAAGATTTTAGCCATCTATCCATGTATTTCAGTTCTTAGAAATGACGAAAACTTGCGAGGGTTAAAATATCCTGATCGCTACTTCTTCCCTGCAGCCCAGGACAGAGAACAGGCTCACTGTGTCTTTGTTGAGTATGAGCCACCCCTCTGAATCCCTATAGCTTTTGTCAATCTTTTGTCAATCCCTTCAGTCTTAAGTTTACTCTGCCTTTTCCCCTATTTTGTGTGTGTGTTTCTGACTGCTACACACTATGAAAAATAAATGTTTGGATTTATGCATGCAAACACACAAATATTAAAAAATTATGAGATATTATGCCTAGAAGAGTACTTTCCACATAGTAGAGCATCCTTAATGTTTTTTTCACTTTAATTCCCATAAAATTAGAGATACCTTTTAAATGCAATCAATTCCCCACAAAAGTTAATTGTGATGGAAAATCAGCTCAACATAGTTTAAGGATGGAGAAGAATATATTGTTTCCTGTAACTGAACTGTAGGAAAGACAAGTATACAACTTATCCTTAAGTACATTGAGAACTATAATTTACACTACAATCCAGCACTTTGTCTCCACTGCTGTTTTTATTTCTTTCTGTATACTGATTAGCTTTCTCAATTTTGGTCATTATGATGGCCATCAGCATATATTAGAATCATATAGTTGTACTCTAGCTCTGGAGAGTACAAGTAGGGCCAAGTGAGCAAGGTAATAAGACAGGTAGCCCATTTCTGGAATATATTACTGACAAAGAATTGAGAATATTCTCCCCAACATATGCTGTTCCATTACAAAGAAAAACTCAGACCAACAAAATAAGAAACATTAATGATAAGAAAGACCTAATACTCAATGTCTCAGAATTTCATATACATTACAAAAAAGAGAATGAACAAAGACATGATTTATGCTGATGGGAAGATACATATGAACTGTAAAATAAATGTTATGTATAGATGTATAAATATATACATGCATATGTGTGCATATATGCATATCTGCATGCAAGTAGATAGAAAGTTGCATTTAAATATAGTGATGGGGGAGTGCGCCTGGGTGGCTCAGTGGGTTAAGTGGTCTATTTTGGCTCAGATCATGATCTCCCAATTCATGGGTTTGAGCCCTGTGTGGGGGCTCTGTGCTGACAGCTAGCTCAGAGTCTGGAGCCTTCTTCGGATTCTGTGTCTCCCTCTCTCTCTGCCCCTCCCCAGCTCATGCTCTGTCTCTCTCTCTCAAAAATAAATAAACTTCAAATTTAGTAAGGGAAACAATCATATATATAAGGAAAATGCAAGCCACTTTAAAAAGAATGTAAACATTTGTTATCTCTGTTTAACTCAATTAACTAAGGAAAAATTACCCAGTGAAATAAGTGATCCAAATTTGAAAACTTATAACCTTTAAATGTATCTGTGTTTTTGTTACCTCAGATGATTAACATATCCTGGAAACTAAGTTAGAAAATTTACCCACAATAAGAAAAGACAACTATAAACTGATATTAAATACATGTGTGTACATACAAACATTATAGGTAGACACCACATAGAAGATAGATAAATAAAAAGAGAAAGCATTATTTAAAGGGGGAAAAATCACAAAAAAGTAAAAAAAAATCATATATAGCATTTATATATGCAATAGTATGTGACGGTTAAACATTTTTGACCCGAATCTATAGATCTCTGCTATATACTACACTCTGGCAATGCAACAAAGTTTGCTATGTATTAGAACTTGTGTTGAGTCTAGCAATCAGGTCAAGGTGCCATATGTCAATTGAGTTGAAAACGGGTCTTTGGACTTTGACCTGACCATTTCTCTTATTGATTAAAGACCTTGTGACAGGGATCTGATGCACAAAATAATGACTATGACAAAGATTGGTTAGGACATGCATTTTATGACTAGGTTTTGTTCAGCTCTAAATAACCTGTACCCATTCAATGGGGTATTTTAGATTTTTGTCACACAAAGATAGCACAAATTAGGGAATATGTAATTAGAGAAATTTTATTCAAAGTAAAACTACTTGGCCTTCCTAAATGAAAGTAGTCTAGACTGACTTTATAGCTAAATTATACTATCCGTAGTAGCTTTACAGTACAGGAGAATGGACGATCAATTTTATGGTTTAGACATAATTGTTGCTTTCCTGTCTCCTCAGATATGCTTACAAGGCTCTTCTGGTTTTTTGTCTTGACCCACCGCAGTCAGCATTGCCTTGTCTGATATTAGTGTTCTATGAAATTATGTTCACCAGGAGAACATGACAGCCGGACCACTTGCTAACAACTTTGAGGCCAAGCTGCTAGTGCCTGGCCAGCTCCCAGCTGTCAGGGCTGTTTTCCTATGGAAATGTAGATATGGAAAACTTATCTATAGGATCATAGAAGTAGAAATAAAAGTAAAGATGGCATTTGAGTGAGTGGTAAATCTAGCACATTGGCTGGATTCATTTAAAGCATTTACCCCTATCTAGCAAAGAATTTCACAAAGGTATTAAATTCTGGAAATATCTGTGAGATCTTCTTAGGTTACAACAAACACAGCAACTATATTACCAAGTAAACATTTTATCTGAGATAATTAAATGCAGAATACTGTCTTAAAATGTTGTCTTTTATTATGTACTAGTCGTACCTTCCATTCAATATTTTCAGTTTTTCAAGGGCAGTGACTGTCCCATAGCCTCTATATACCACCTACTCAGTGATAGTCTTATTAGCATCGACGTGAGTAAACACTTAAGTGGCTGGTTATAGAGTGGAAAATAGAAATGGACTGAAAGGAGACATGGCTTCTTCAATCTACTCTAATGCATAATACTAGCTGTCACCAGCCTCAAGAAATCATTTTCTTCTGAAATAGATTTAAAATGCAATTTATGGAATATAGTATTTTTATCTCCCTCCTCTTTGAAAGTCTATCTTCAATAACTGGAGATGATGACTTTTTCCATTGTTTCCAACAGTCTCTGAAAATTTAATGATACCAGGGATACTCAGACATCCAGCTTTAATAAGCACTTGCACACTGACCCCTGATTCCTCGGATTGCTACCCAGCCTTAGTGCTTCCTGGTGAAAAATAATTGGATTACCTCAAACTCAGATACAGCTAACTCCTGGAAGCTTGCTAAGTATAAGAATGGTTTAGAATGTTCTCAAACTTTATTGTATGTTAGAAATACCTGGAAGCCTTAGAAACAGAGTTTGCTGGACCTACCTCTATATAATTTAATAGGTTACCAGGTGACGTAAACAGTGCTGGTCTAGGTTTCTACATTTTGAGAAATAATATACATTAACAAATGTGTATTGAGAACTGCTGATCTAAATATTGTGGTAGGTACAATAATGGCCCCCCAAAGATGTGTACCTCCTAATCTCCTACAGCTGTGAATATGCCACCTTACATGGTAGAAGAGACTTTTTGGATGTAATTAAAGCTAAGGGCCTTGAGGACGGAAAGTATCTGTAAGTTATGAAGGGGGATCCAATATAATCACATGGGTCTTTAAAAGCAGAGAAACTTCTGAGCTGTATCAGAGAGAGGCCAATATGACTGCAAAAGAATGGTCAGAGAGATGAAATGACACAGGAGGGAGAAGTGCCATGAGCCAAGGAATGTAGGCAACATCTAGAAGCTGAAAAAGACAAGCAGATTTTCATATACAGCCCCCAGAAAGAAACTCAGCCCCACCAACACCTTAAGTTTGGCCTAGTGAGACTCATGTGAGGCTGGCCTAAGGAACTATAGGATAATAAATTCCTCTTTTCAGGGCACTAAGTCTGTGATGATTTGTTACAATAACAACAGAAATTGAATACAGATAATAAAAATTCCTATCAGCCAGAATTATACCTCCCTATCTGTTCTTTGTGGACCCTTCACATGCCATAAAACAAAAACAAAATCCAAATATATATAGGTAGCCATTATAGCAGCAAAAGTCTTAAAATTGTTATCAGAAAACCAGCATTTATGTACCACTTACTATCTGTATTCTTGTAGACATACACACGCATTTAATGA